AAGTTTAAAAAAAAAAAAAAACACAAATATCATAGGTCTTTTATAAAGCACTGACTTTCAACCAAAAAAATATCGATACGCAAGTATTCCTGGCCTTTCTCCATTTTTGGTTCCTCAAAGAGTGATGTAGAACGAAGAGGAAGGAACACGAAGGACAAGAGGTTTGAGCTAGTGCTTGGAAGGTGCGTGTGTGCGTGTGTGTGCGTGTATGTGTGTGTGTGTAGGGGGAATTTGAAAAGATAAGTGCAGAAGAGTTCTGATTTCTAAGGGGAAGGATGATGAGAAAAGGGAGATTTTAAGAATTTCTGTGGTCTACATATCTCCATTTTGTAGTTAGAGAACATCAAACAAACAACTGGTACTATTTTGAAATTTATTTTGGTGGCTGAACTGGATTTCTTTCACTGCAATGCCTCTCTTAGACTGGACCACTCAAGTATTACAATTGTGTTTCAAATTCTCTTTTCCTAGCAAATTTTTTAGTGAATTTAACTTCTGTCAAACACGGTTTCTGGGTTCAGTGCCATTATACAAGTGAAAGAGACACGCACGAACAAAGCATCATCCTACTTTGGGTTATCTATTTACTATATGGTCCTCACTTCTGTAAGACCTATTAGCACACACTCTCCAAGATCACCAGCTAAGAGTACTGATTATTTTGAAACCAATTCAAAGACATTTTGAGCCAAGGGAAATTAAAAATCTGTTCAAACATATTAAATAATGTCTTATAAAACTGAACTCTTTGACAAAGTATTACTTGTTAGTAATCTCTAACGAATATCTTCAGGCTTGCATTCAAGTTAAGATGTAAATAATATGGAACCAATCACAATTATTAAAATGTTTTTGTGCATCAGGGTCTCGTCCATGAAGCAGCTGCTTACTGTGACAGTGGTGCTCAGGCCATTTCGAGCGAAGCCACTGCCTTGGATAGGGCTTTGGGAGGTCATTGTTTGAAGACCCATGCAACCCAGACTGCCAATCACTCAGACAACGAGGGAAAAAGAGAAGGAGATCACAGTAACATTGGGTTATCAGGTTTCTTTGAAGTCTCATGGTCACCATTCGAGACAATCCAGTAAAAAGAAAGGACCCCACGGGCCAGCCTGGTGACGTAGTCATTAAGTTTGCGCACTCCGCTTTGGCAGCCCAGGGTTGGCCGGTTCGGATCCCGGGCGCGGACCTACACACCAATCATCTGGCCATGCTGTGGTGGTGCCCAACATATAGAATGGAGGAAGACTGGCACAGATGTTGGCTCAGGGACAGTCTTCCTCACTAAAAAAAAACAGGACCCTGGACTCCACGTTGAGAGACCTTGATTCTGCTTTAGCTCTGCCACAAATTTCCTATACCACCACAGGATGGAGTTTCTTCATCTCCGAAGTGAACGGTGAGAAAAGCCCTTACAAATTAACAAATATAATCTGCCTCAGCATAAAACTTTTCCCTCATCAAGGTGAACAACCTCTCCATTCTTCAGCATCCAATGGCATGTTATCCCACTGCCTTCTCTCCTCAGTATTCTCGATTTTCATTGGATACTCACCAGGTCAACACCGTATTCCACCTTTAGTAGGTGTAAGGCTCTTGACGGTATTCACCTGCATGCACAGATCTTCCTTCTCCTCCCTATAGCACAATGTTTCAGGGTAGAGCCACCAGTCTAGCCCAGAACAGTGAAGTTTATGAAAGACATGGGTGTCACTTGTCTTCAAGTATCTCATACTTGAGGTAATTATTTTAATATTCATTCATTAACTTTCTCACAATAATATTTATATTGTCCCACAATAACAATTAATAATAAAAGCTACCACTGGTTGAGAATTGATGTGCCAGATACTATCCTAAACACTCTAAGCATAGTCTCTCAATTAACCCAACCATATAAATATGTACATATGTATATATGTAATATATATGTGTAATATGATACTTATATACACACGTATCTATATATTTCTATATACAAAGATACACATATATACATATGTGTGTATATAAACATATATATATAACTATATATATATAACTATACCATTATTAAGCCCATTTTACAGATGAAACTGAGAATCAGAAGAAATTAATTATCCAAAGACATATAGTTTGTAATTGGCGGAAGCTGAATTCGAGCCAGACCTGTCTGTGTTTTCAAATACTTTGAGCACAGTTCAGTGTCTGTGGTTTCTGAAAAGCAACATATACAAGAAGCTATTTTCAAAAATGCAAAATAAGTGGTGTGATATCTTAGAAATAACATAGGACTTAGAGAAACGTGTCCTGGGTCCCTTTCCGGGTCCTGCTGATGGCTGGATACGCCTTCTTGAGCAAAATATTCATCTTTCCCTGAGACCTCAATTTCCTCTTGTAGAATGAAGGGTTTAGAGCAGATAATCTCTAAGGTTTCCTTTGGCTCTAAAGAGAAACGATTTGCTTCTGAAAGGTATTGTTTCTACAATGAGGATAAATACTTAGAATTCCAACTACTCACAATAAAAGGTAACATCCCCTCCCGGAGGAATAAAATAACTATCATGTCGTCATCCTTCAGATATTAGTTTAGACAGTCCAGTCTTAGTCTAGCCTTCCCTGGAGTCCCTTCTTCACATCACAGGCCTTTTTATTTAACAGCACACATCGCAGTTTGCAATTACAAATTGATGTGTGTGGTTAGATTCTAAGTTCCAAGAAGGTAGGTACCATGTCTGTCTGCTCACCACTGAATCCCTGCCTGGTGCCAGGGCTTGGCATGGAGAAGGTGCTTAATAACATTTGTCAACTAAATGGATTTTAAAAGGAGCTCATGGCTTCCAGGTTTTCAGTACTGGATGATTTAGAGCTAATAATTCTTTCTGCCTTTCCGAAAGATAAGAGTCTGGTAATGAGTCTTTCATGCCATAGGAAGGATATAATTTATTTATTTTCTCTTAGCTCCTAGCATGCAGGAGAAGCCAATGATGAGCACTGCCCCCTGAAACTATACAAAGTATATCTTAGAGTTCCAATACCATTTTTCCTAATCCTTTAGAGACAAATACTGAAGATGATGATACCAACATTGATATCGATGAACTCTATATAATTTAAATCTTGCCTGTAAGGAGGTATTAAGCTGAGGCTTACTAATTTAAGAGAAGGGATGGATAAACGAAACCTCTGCTTGGTGTTCTTGGCTAGAACCAGCAGTGAAAGTGCTGCTGTCCCCTCTACTGAGGCCCTACTGATGGGCCCACCCAACCTCATGCATGTTACTGACTACTGTGCCTTTCAGTCTGGAATGTACGACTGGGAGGAGCCACAGCTACTTGGGTAACTGGGGGCAGTGGGTTTGTGAACTGCACCCCCTCTCTTCCTGCAGTGTATCCCCTGGGATGCAAGATTATAGTGCCATGGAGCAATGGGGGCTGCAGCACAGTGTGGCTGAGGCTGCCGGGCAGCCACACGGCCGTGGCTTGTTGGCAGGGAGCAGTTCAGTCTAGGACCACGTGGAAAGCAGACATGCTGACTACAGCACGGAGCAAAGAAAATGAGAGCTTCTGCCTGTATTTGGTGGGCTAGGATGGGAGGAGGAGAGGAGGGGGCTTTGGGGAGAGTGCCAAGCTGGGCTGTAGATGAAAGTGTGGGAAGATTCAAGGGGAGGCATTTTGCCAACTCAGACGCAGTTAGGCTGATTTTTTCCCCCTTTCTTCTGCTTAAATGAGAAATCCTGCTGGGTGGAGTGGGAGCAGGGCCAAGAAAGGAGTGATTCTGCTGGGTGAGCATGGATGGTCGGACCCAGGAAGGATGTGTCTGCCAGCTGGGATCAGAGCCAGGGGAGAGGAAAAATTAAGGGAGGGAAGATGAGGGGCAACAGGAATAAAAGAGAGGAAATGTCCTACAAGGAGAAGGCGAGAAAAAGGAGAGAGAAAGCAGGTCAGGCAGATGAGGAGAGCCTTGTTTCTGCCTTACAGAACAGGCCAACCAACTTTCCAAACGTCAGAATAAAATAATGTTCACATGAAACAAGCAAGGAAAGACCACATGGTGCAGTATAAAGGAAACCTACTGCTCCTAAATTTTCCTGGTGGGTGTTAATTTCCACGGGAATACATTTTTCCCAAACAGCAAATCCTGGAAAAGCTGTAAGTTATAAAAAACGTGTTGCGCTCTAAGTAAAACAGAACAAACAAAATGCTGTCACAGAAAAACCACATACTACTTCCAAATATTAGATATTGCCTAAAATACGAGGTAGAACACAAGAATCCTAAATTGCTCTTCTCGCCTCTCTAATAAAATGTTAAAAATATAAAGATTCTCTTGTAAGGAAATTTAGAGGAGGAAAAGTTATAAATGTTAACGAAGTGAATTCCACTTTGAAGTGATGTCGCTTTTAGAGCTTTTTGATGTTCCTTTGCGGAGTCTTGTGAAGAGCTAAAAGACCATCGAATGAACGCTGCATTTTTTGTGACAATCCTACAAGTTACATGTGGCCTGAGGACCAGAATCTGATTGGCTTCAATCCGCAACATAGAGTGAGGCATCTTTTGGCTTAAGTGCGTAGAGGACAGATTTGGCTATTGATTGATGACAAATAAGAGACCCCCAAATCCTCCTCCTTCCAGTTCTGAACTTAGGCTTCAAGAGGACTTTCAAGCTTCCATTCTTTCTCTCGGAACTCTGTCACCACCACCTGCACAAGCCTGGACTAGCCTGACGGCATATGAGAAGCCACATAAAGCACAGCCTGGTAGTCCCAGACAAAGCCATTCTAGACCAGACTCCAGCCAGCTAACCCTCAAACAGGTAAGAGAACCCAGCTAGATCAGCGGGGCAGCCTACCCAAGTCACAGCTAATGACAAATGCATGAGATGGCAGAGCTGAGACCAAAACGGCTGCCCAGCTGACTCAAGAGCAATATACACTTATTGTTTTAAGCCGTTGAGTTTTGGGACCGTTTATTACACAACAATAGATAACCGACACAGTTACACACAAACTGGAGACTTACCTGTGCACTCATACTGTAGACCTTTCCCATAATACCCCTTTTCACAGATGCACTCAAATTGACCTGTGTGTGTCCCGCATTTGCAGCTTGCCATTCGGTCACAGCAGTCTTTGCCGGCTTCACACAGATACGAGCAATGGGACATATCCTCTTGAATAAAACTCCCAGAAGGCAGATCTACCAAGAACGTTTGACAGAGGGTCATAACAAATGAATTAACGGTTGAATGTTACCATCTCTAGTTACCAAAATTGAAGTGCAAGCTGGGGAAAATATCTTCTCACATCCGTCTAATTCCCAGCTGTTTCCAACTCCCACCCAAACATGAATGCCTGTTATTTACACTACCACAGACTGGGAATTTGCTTCAGCCAGTTATCTCAGTCTGGGCCCTCATCATGAGTTCTCGAGGCCACGCAGGGTCAGGCAGATATTAAGCACTTCAGCGAGGAATCTCCAGATGCAGCAGGAAGTAACACAGTCGGTTCTATGGGTCACTCCTTGGCTTCTGCACCAGACGTGTTCCACTGCCTCAGAATGAGGTCAGGCAGCAGTAACCAGATTTCCAAAATCCTTGTTCAAATAAATAAATAAAACTACAATCCCAAATGCTGCATCAGGGTGTTGATAGTGAGCTACTGACTAAAGAATAAATGCCATCACTTCTATGGTGATTTGATTAAAGACAAATAACAGCACCACACAAGTTGAATGATAGAACTAGAATCTGGTTTATCTCCCAATTCTAAGTAAATTATCATATTTTATGTAAATGGAGATCATAGTGATGACTTGAGCCATGCCCTGAAGTGAGGCATGCTGGGAATTCAACAACTTAGGCAGAGCTTGTCAGAAAGTGACTTCACAGGGCAGCGGAAGAGTGAATATGATGATCTAGAATGGATGGCCTAGAATCAGGCAAACAATAATTTCCATTTACTCTGCTGAAGAAATTCAAAAGTCTTAGTTCAAATTCCAGTGCTAAGTCCATGGTGCTAGGCCCAGATATAGTAATGGGCTCCTAATAGGAACTCAAATGGGTGAGTTTCAGCAAGACACATGGACTGCAACTGAATACCTGGAAAGGAGACTGGTGATGGCCTCAACTATGGAACATCTGTCTCTATGCATTAGGACTGAACAACAGATATGGGCAAAGTAAAGGGAAGACTCTGCCCCAAGGGAAAGAGACCAATACAACCAGGTACCCTATTAATGCTTCATCTAATAGACTGTGGTGTGGGTAAAAGGTCTGCAACATGGCACTTAGCTCTGAGACAATTGGGCCACAGGTTTATCTGGCAGTAGACTAACTTAGGGAGTCAGAAAAACCTCGCTATCAAGACTAGTTTGGCATTCAGACCAGACTGGCATTCAGGTCTGGGAGAGAGAAAGTAAATGAGTTACATATGGAGAAAGCCATTATTGCATAACCTACGTCTACTGAGGATGACCAGAACATGAACAGTCTTGAGATCAAAAGTGGATCCATCCAAATTGAAAGTAGCTTCAGAGAATATAGAGGCAGGGGAAATAAGGCTTATTTCCTTTGACCTGATCATATCTTTTCAGTAAAAACATGGTCTTTCCCTACCAAATCTAGAAACTCAATCAGAGTATTATACATTCTAGATATTAGTTTATTGTAATAAAAGTGATGTCTTCCAAAACCCTGTTGGAACCCAAATCCATTCCTTGAAGGCTCTGTCCCACCCAGTTTCTGGGTCAACTCGCATTAGGGCAGAAGGCCCCAATCCTACAAGACAGAGGGATGGTAGGACTGGAAATGAGTCCTCTACAGCACAGATAATAAGACCCATAATTTCATAACCCCATCTAGTAACACAGCCACCCTGTCTTCTGACTTAACATATCACTCTCCCCTGAGAAAAGAAGACACAAAGGAAGCCCCAGTTACTGAACTTCCGCCATGTGCCAAACACTATACTTGGTGAAATTTAAATATTTTATTTAATCCTCCTGACAAAACTATATGGTACATATTATAATATCTCCATTTTGAAAGTAGAGAAAACTGAAATTCATAGATATTAGATAAATTGCCTAAGATAATACTAATAATGGACAGTTATTGGAGGCTTAGTATAATAAGCCCTCAGTAACTTTTCTCATCACTTTATATTAACCCATTTAACCCTTGTAACAATCCTACAAATAGCTACTATTCTTGTACCCTATTCTATTAACAAGAAACCTAAAAAGTGCAAAAGTTAAATAATTTGCCAAAAGCCATTCAGCTAGTAGGGGACTAACTGGGATTTTTTGCTATATCCATAGCTAGCCTAAGATCCTGCTCTAAACTCTTCTCTTGGAACTACAGTAGGGCTGACCCACTTATTAGGAACATCACTACTTGCTAGGAAATCTTGTGTTGCCATAATTTTCCCATCAGACTGAATCTTTCACATGGATACCTGCAAAGATCAAGCTTAATTTGCTACGTGGCTTTGGTCTGAGGCCAGATCCCCTGACACCTCCTCCCAGTCTGCACTTTCTCTCCTGGCTCACCAAGACGCAGGACCACATTACGCCTAGAAGTTCATCAGACTTAAATCAAATCATACAATTAAACATCCTTGTAATTGGTATACAAAGAACTCTAATGATGGATTTACTGATTTTATTCCCTCTTGGGGTCACTGCTCTTTAGCTTATACATAAGCCTATCTATCTTCAAATTATAAAGTCAAGCAGTATGTGTTAAGTATTTATTGTCCTTATATCCTTATGTGTATTTCTGGAAACATTCTGGTGAGATTCACTATGCATGTCTCTGAATGTTTACTTGATCTTTCCAGACAACGGTAAATGAGATCTAAGTCAAGGCTTCCCACTCTGTGTGTGGCCTCAAAACACACCTAAATTCATTCCATTGATTCTAATCTTCCAGGTGGGAGCATATGGATATTTTAGTGAAAATATAGCACAGCTGTTAAAAAAAAACAAAAACAAATACTTTTCTTGCAAGGTGAAAATGTCATCTCTATTTATGAAGTTCCACACATCTCCTAATACACAAAGGACACAGGGGCATCCCGCTCAGTGAAGACCTCATAGAGTTTGGTACTACCCTCCAGTGAGTTCCAAGCAGTAAGCGAGAAGGAAACCCCATTTAAAGGCACCATGTTATGCCATTAGGTTTCCATTACCTTCATGCAATGCCCGGCGAGCTAAAGCCTCAAATTCTTCAAAACTGTGGAGCAAGTAGCAGTGTTCCTCCTTTGGGGTGGAAGCCATGTCATTCAGTTCTCGAATGTTTCCTTGCCATATGCCAAAAGTGAAGATCTCCACTCCAAAATCTCGCAGCGATGCTGCAATGGGTCTAGGATCTCCCCCGTTGGAATATCCATCAGTAATGAGAAATATAACTTTTGTTGAGTTTTCTCTAGAATGACGAAGAATTTGCTGTAATGAAATAGGGAAAGTTAGTATGAGTTTGTATTGTGTTGGCCTACTATGTGCTTCCTTTCTTATGTAAGGTAATATTTGTGAAGATCATTAGCATTTCACAAGAGTGAGGAATGGAACCCTGATCAGTGAGAGTAAAACAGAAACAGGCAGACTAGACCCACAATGGTCTTCTCACAGAACCACAATAATCCTCAAAAGCATTTAAAACCTATCATTATCATCATCATCATCACCACCATCATCGCTAAGGAAGCGCAACAAATGTTTATGGAATGAATTTTTATTAACATTATCAGTTATTGTTAAACTACTTTTCATTGATTTTCAGGCTCAAAATATGAACCAAATCTGAGTCCTTTGTATCTACTTCTAAGCATATCTATCTAGCTATCTACCCACCTACCTACCTAGCAGAACCACCTCACGATCATCTGCTAAAAGCCTAACTAGAAGAAAATTTAACAGAATATATCTTTTCCAGAGCTAATAATGGCTCACTTGCTTCCTATATTTGTTTTTCCACTGCTCCTTCAAAATTGTAGAATTGATTCAACACTTCATTTTTTTTTTTGGACCACCCAGTATTAGCACAAAATCAGCTGGTTTGGTGGTGTCCTATCTTCATGAGAAAATACTGATTCACTCAGCCTAACACTTGGGCTTTATTATTTCAGGAAAAGTTATGCTTTATAATCTTATATGCTATTCCTTCTTTATAGATAGAAGGGAAAAAACGAAACCTTTTTCAAAAGGCATCTATTTAGTGCCATTGATACTTTGTAACATCAAACTGTAAAAGGCACAAGAAATCTGGTGGTGAGTCAGGCTTCTAATTAAGTTTGTTGTTGTTGTTTTTCATTACAAATGGGTAGGAAAGGTAATGAAGCACCAGGATTTATTTTCTGGCTAGTTCTTAGAAGGAATTCAATGTTTGTTAGGCAATAATTCAAGAAACACTACATTCAGAAGATAGTCAGGAAGGGCAACAATTGTATCTTATGTTCTGTTAAAGTTAAAAGGAGATATTATGATTTAAAAAATAACTTTGCTTCAATTCACCTTAGGGGACAGACTCAGCTATAAAATCCAGATTCTCTCAGATTATAAGATTCACATCTACAGAAAGCATTCTTCATCAATATAAAATCAATAGGTATTTATTCTAATTCAATAATTCTTACCAAATTTTTTTAGTGTTTGTGAGCTGTTAAACTTGAATTTAAAGACAATTAAACTGAAAATGACTGGAGAACATCTGGAAAGCCAGCAAACCGAGAAAAGGTATTCAAAGACTTCAGCCCACTCCTTCTCAAAAACCAAGTGAAATAAAGGAAAATAAATAGTGCAGATGGGACCATACCAAAGACAGGCACAGAGGGCAGGTATGTGTGGTAGAATAGTATGTGAGATATTAACAGAGACGTTCCCCAAATACACATATCGAGGGGCCCAATCAATAGTCTCAAAATTCTTGGTGATTTTTTTCCCCCATATTTTCAAATTTATTGTCATAAACTAATCGTAATAAGATCTCTGTTTACTGTCTGCATCAAAATTTGTGGCTCTTAAAGTGTAAAAAGCTGCCCTCTTAATGAATGACAGGAAGATTTAGATGAATACTTGGTAAGTGTGAGATATTTCCTTACTCCAGATAAGAAAAGAACCTCTGAGGAGAGGAAGAGAAAGAACTAGAGGAGAACAAGAGATTCTAGATGTTTCTGTGAGGCAGTGTACTCTACACCAATCCCTCCACACCCCCAACTCAGTCATAGAAGAGATGATTTAAGTATAGGGATCTATGGGTCCTCTTTCCACTTGGATATTTGAGATAGTGGCAAGTCCCACAGAAGTGCCCTTGGTCACAATGACACGGGACAATAGAGTAAAACTATGTGGAATGTTAAAGGAGAGTGGACCTGATGAGACTTCTGTATTTCTGGAAATGCTTAGGAAAGAGAGAGTTGGTGCAATATTGACTCCTGAAGGAGTTTAGCAATATTAAGTATGTGGCAGTAGATGACATCATGGACCGTGTGAGCCAAAAGCCAGACAGAGATGTGTCTCTCTCAGGCAATATCTATAAGAAGAAATCCTGGAAGCCCAGGAGATAGCTACACCAAGGCTGAGAAAGCTGACAAACCTACGTGCAGATAACCAACGATGATCATCATGACCACTGATGAGACAACTGAGACTATTCCAGAGGATGAAAGTGCAGGGCGAGTCAGAGCGGAGAGGTGGGCATCTCCCCCCTTGCTGGAGCTTTGCAGCCCCAAAGCTTAGACTCAACTATAGGGAGGAAGGGAAGAGGAGAAAATTCCTGAACGTGACTCACTTTTCAAAAGTGAAGCACTTGAGAAGTTTCTGATTTTGAGTTTGCCTGGAAGTACCTACATGGAGTTTTCTGTCATCAGGTGGACTGGAGCGTCAAAATAGAAATTACATTTAGTATTAGGAAAATAAAGAATTAGTATTTTTTTAAAATCTTAATCGGCAGATATTTTGATAAGCAGTGTGTAGGTCCGTGCCCAGGATCCGAACCTGCAAACCCCGGCAAAATATTTTCTTTTCTACATATACAGTTTCTCTTCCTGATGGAACCTTGTGATATCTTGGAAAGTAAGTAGAAAAAATCTTTTGGAACCCTGCCATCCCCACCTTATTTAGAGGGAGAGGCAAGGGCTAGAGATGAAGGCCAGGGATGGGAGAGAAGAAGGTCACTTTATCTAACCCCTTTGCAACACAGCTCAAAGATATTCAGAGGTGACAAAGGCCAGGGCAGCTTCAAACAGAAACCTAGTCTTCTCCCCAGATGTAACTTCCTTGAAGGCACGTATTTTGGTCTATTTTTTCAATTCCTCACTCCCAAAGTCTAGCACAGTGCTTGGCAAATAGTACACACCCACTAAATATTTGTCAGTAAAGAGTAGCCCATAGTACAGCACTTTTGTCGGCTGCTCAAAAACGTTGGAATTGTCCTATCTCCTATCTCTTCTTGCATATTGCTTTAGAAATTTTCCCCACTCCAAGCCTATTAAAATATTCTCATACACTTTTCTCTAATACTTTTGCTCTTTTAAAAACATATTAAATCCATATATATATTTTTTGTCTTTGGTATGAGTAAAGACACACCAAAGAGCTCTATTTTTATTCAACTTGATAAGCAAATTTCCCCAAATCATTTACTGACTGATCTGCTCTTTCCCTGTGCAGTCTCTCCATCCTGTTTTAGTGATTTACTTGCCTGTTCTCGGCGCATACCACACTGTTTTGGCTGCTATACCTTTATAGTACTTTTTCATATCTAATAAGGAAAGACTAACATCCTTTCTGTTTTCTTTTAAATTTGTAGTTAACCTTGCAAATTTTCTTTTCCAACTGAGCTTGAGAGTCAACTTGTCAAATTCTTCATTAAAAGTTTTTCTATTAACTATTTGATCCAGCGATCCCACATCTAGGAATCTATCCTAAAGATACAGTGGCGAAAAAAAAGACAGAACCAAGGACCAACTCCAGTAGAAACAACCATTCTTAGAACCCTGACTGCAGTCTCCAAATACCATTTCCTAACAACAGGAACCAAAAATTCTTGAAGAAATGATTGATTTCAGATCTATGGCAAGAAATACACAACATGAGCTTGGAACATCCTGTCATGATAGAAACCAAAGAAGCTATTAAAGGTTATAAGGGCACCAAACGGAATTAGAAGGCAGCCTGAAGGAGCTCCTTCTGGCCAAATAAGTTGCAATTTGAGTATCAATAAAAATAATAATTGGAATGGATTTAAATGTATCAAGTATTATATACATACACATTTATTTGTGTGTATGTATATATATATATTTACATCATCAGTTAGTACACACCCCAGGCGAAATGCCCAGTCCATGTAAACAATAACTCAAATGGACTGAAATACACATACTTTTTTTAATTCAGTACCACCTCTGGGGAAAAATCCAATTATCTGTTATGAATGGCATGAAGTGAGACATTACTTTGTCTTTAAAATTATACATCAGTATTCAAAGAGTAACTCCCTGCTCTAGTACTCCAACACGTGGCAAGTTGTGTTCATACGATCCTTGCTCTTTACTTAGTGATAAACTCTTTCTTTCTGAGTTGTTCTCCTCTGAAATCATAACCTAACCTCCATGGACACTCCCCTAAGTTTTTGCTCAATTTGATTACTCTCTCTTCTACAAGACCATGGCAGTTAACTGTAAATAAGACATTAAAAAAGTGAGAATTGTGGGGGTCAGCCTGGTGGCGCAAGCGGTTGAGTGTGCGCACTCCGCTGCGGCGGCCCGGGGTTCACGGGTTCGGATCGATGCACCGCTTGTCAAGCCATGCTGTGGTGGCGTCCCATATAAAGTAGAGGAAGATGGGCATGGATGTTAGCTCAGGGCCAGTCTGCCTCAGCAAAAAGAGGAGGATTGGCAGATGTTAGCTCAGGGCCGATCTTTGTCACACACACAAAAAAAGTGAGAATTGTGATGGAAAGGAGGAGAAGAGAGAAAAAAATTAAATTGCCTTTTTCAGTATGGTTTTCTTTTTTTTTTTTGGTGAGGAAGATTAGCCCTAAGCTAACATCTGTTGCCAATCCTCCTCTTTTTGCTGAGGAAGACTGGCCCTGGGCTAACATCCGTGCCCACCTTCCTCTACTTTATATGTGGGATACCTGCCATTGCATGGCTTGATAAGCGGTGCATAGGTCCGCGCCCAGGATCCAAACCTGCAAACCCCGGGCCGGCAAAGCAAAAGCCTGTGAACTTAACCACCATGCCACCGGCCCAACCCCTCAGTATGATTCTTGACAGTGCATGGCACAGAGTATTTGCTCATAAATATTCACTAAATGAATGAATTAATGAATGAGTGGATAAACTCTAGGATACTGCGGAGAGAGGCACTCAAGTGAGTCAGTCTTGAGTGAGCAGTGGGAATGTACAGAATATCTCTGTGTGTGTGAGCTGTATTTCGTAGTT